GCTCAATCATGTTACGCAGATGGAATTAAGGGGCAATTGAGAGGGTAATTTGTGCGATTAAATTAGGCCGAGATAAATTGCACGCTCGGTGGTGGTTAGGCCGAGTAGTGGGCCGAGGAAGGCAGCTCGATTTTGAGCAGAGTGTACGGTAGGCCGACCAAAGGGTTGGACCTAGTTCACTAACGACCAGACAAGTGGAGGGGACTGAGTTACCCTTAGCTCAGCACAGCTTGTGTGGAAGACGAACTCGCAGTGTGATTAGGAATAAACCAAAGCATGATAGTTCGGTCGAACACTTACAAACCAGGCACGGTGTCACCATCCCACTTGGCTTACAGTGGGGAAGGTGTTTCAAGAATAAGCATTATCCTTTAGGATTGGGATTCCTAAGAGGACTCTGTTAAGAAGAGTTAGAGTCATACTAGATATGTGTTTGGCGGAATCTATAAAAGCTCATGACAGAACCTATGTACATGTATTGCAATTCTTATTCTCAAATACACAGAGCTTATTGTCTAATGTCTATTTGTTGACTTAGGCATCAGAGGGGTTTCTAGCACACACCCGCCGGCTAACTCATGGTTGTGTTTTCAGGTAACAAAGCGACAACGTTTGGAGGAGGGCAAACTTGGTCAATAAGATTATATGAGAAGATTGTTCTGTACTTGTATATTATCTTTGTGTTTTTTAATTTTCTTTAGATTTTTTCATGGGAGTCCAATTAAAAAAGAAAAAGGAAATGTATGAATCAAGATTGTTCAAGGTCAATTCATTGAGAGATTGTTCAAGATCAATTTAAGTTGTATTGAGAATTGTCTAAATCTGTTCAAGGTGGAATTGTAATTTAAGATTGTCTGTTCAAACTATTGATGTGTTGCTACAGTTATCTTTACAATTTTTGAGTGAAAAAAGAAAAATGTAAGGTTTTATATTGTGTTACTTGTGTTTGTAATATATATTCAAAATGATTTAACAATTTAAATTATTTTAATATCATTCAATGACTAATAATTTACATGTATATTTAATATTTTCATATATTTAAATCTAGAGGCATTTACATACAAGTCCTAATTTATGAACTTATACTCTATTAAGTTCTAATTAAGATTTTTTGAACTTTCAAGTCCCATTAAGTTTTTAATACTTAGAATTATCATTCAAACAATGATTGTTTACCATTTATAATTATCTATAAAAGACCATGACAATATGATATTTATTTTGATTTTCAAAACTTTAAAATATCAACTTTCAAATTAAAAAAAACTATAAAAAAAAATTATGTGCAAAAAAAAAAAAATATTTTTTTAAAAAAATTGAGAAAGCTGAATTATTTTTTTGTAAAACTAAAATTTTGTATCGAAAAAAAAGCATGATGATGGAACATTGATGTGCAAAAAGTTAAAAATTAAAAATGAAAAAACTAATAATAATATTCTCAGTTTTAAAACTGAAAAAAAAAATTGTTAATATTTTTAGTTTTATTAGATACTTGAATCAAACTAATAAGAAAAAGGGTGAAAACGTTTTATCTCATGCTTTGTTTTTTTTATCAATTAGTGAAACAGTTATCTGGAAGATTACTATGTAAAATTGATAATATTCTTAATTTTAAAAATTAAAAAAAATGATAATATTTTCAGTTTTATTAAATAGGACTTATTGATTCAAAAAATCTTAAATAAGACCTAAATTACCATAACATTTCTAAATAGAACTTTTAGGTAATTAACTCTTAAATCTATATAATTTGAGTTTCGGGTTAAGTTTTTTTAAATCTGTCAGGAAATTAATTTTTTTATTTTTTGTAATTTTTAATGAAAAATTTTAATTTTTTTAAAAAATTATTTATTAGATACAACTAACCTAGATATGCTTAAAAAGTATAATATTTATGAAAAAAATCTTTAAAAATTTCATCAAATACAAAAAATATGAAAAAAATATAAAAAGTAAGTATATATTTTTTATTCTTATGTATTTAATTTTATTTTTTAGTTGCATCTAAGTTATGTACATCTATAAAGTAACAAATTTAAATATTTAAAAAATTCATTAAAAATAAAGGAATACGAAAAATAATAAAGCTCAATTTTAAGAAAATCAATCAAAACCAAACAAGGTGAATAGTTGTCGACAATAACAAAAAAAAAAAACCTGAAAAATCACCATTTATAATTATCTATAAAAGACCACGACAATATGATATTTATTTTGATTTTCAAAACTTTAAAATATCAACTTTCAAATTAAAAAAAAACTAAAAAAAAAATATTATGTGCAAAAAAAAAAAACAATTTTTTTGAAAAAATTGAGAAAACTGAATTATTTTTGTGTAAAACTAAAAATTTTGTGTCGAAAAAAAAGCATGATGATGGAATATTGATGTGCAAAAAGTTAAAAATTAAAAATGAAAAAACTAATAATAATGTTCTCAGTTTTAAAACTGAAAAAAAAAAAATTGTTAATATTTTCAGTTTTATTGAATACTTGAATCAAACTTATAAGAAGAAGGGTGAAAACATTTAATCTCATGCTTTGTTTTTTTATCAATTAGTGAAACAGTTATCTGGAAGATTACTATGCAAAATTGATAATATTCTTAATTTTAAAAATTAAAAAAAATGATAATATTTTCAGTTTTATTAAATAGGACTTATTGATTCAAAAAATCTTAAATAAGACCTAAATTACCATAACATTTCTAAATAGAACTTTTAGGTAATTAACTCTTAAATCTATATAATTTGAGTTTCGGGTTAAGTTTTTTTAAATCTATCAGGAAATTGAATTTTTTATTTTTTGTAATTTTTAATGAAAAATTTTAATTTTTTTAAAAAATTATTTATTAGATACAACTAACCTAGATATGCTTAAAAAGTATAATATTTATGAAAAAAATCTTTAAAAATTTCATCAAATACAAAAAATATGAAAAAAATATAAAAAGTAAGTATATATTTTTTATTCTTATGTATTTAATTTTATTTTTTAGTTGCATCTAAGTTATGTACATCTATAAAGTAACAAATTTAAATATTTAAAAAATTCATTAAAAATAAAGGAATACGAAAAATAATAAAGCTCAATTTTAAGAAAATCAATCAAAACCAAACAAGGTGAATAGTTGTCGACAATAACAAAAAAAAAAAACCTGAAAAAAAGAAGAAAATAGTAATAATTGTCTTAAAATGATCCAAACAATCTTTTTACAATTATTTTTCAATATTTTATTCCTTTTGCAATTTGAGAAATATCCACTAAAATGCAATTATGTATTGTTTTCTGTTTATTTGCAATTTCCATATTTTCATTTTTTTTTAAATATTTTTTTGCCCATTTCATGGCCGATTTTAGTTTCATTGTCGAGCCAATAACCATAGGTGTTTTTTTCTTTTTTCTTTTTTTGAGAACTCAGAAAATAACCATAGTTTGTTAACTTATTTGAATTCAGCATGCTCCTCTTAAATTCACAAATTACGGCGACGTTTATTTAGAGTTAATTTCCAAGGACACTCCTTAATTATTATTAAATATTATTTTATTCTCTCAATTTTAAAATTATATATTTTTTTAATTTTCAATTAGAAAATTAGATCATTTTCACCCATTTCAAAATGAGACACTTTGAGCATCTCCAACGGTAGTAGGCATTTTACCTATCCAAATATTACTATAAAGTATATATTTTATTTTGTCTATCAACTGTTTTATGTTTTTACTCCAACCATGCTCTTTATTTTAGTTATTTATCTAAATACTATTAATTTTATAGAATGCCACGTCAACAATAAAGATGGAGGGAAATGATCCTAATGATTGAATACATTTTGCCTAGCGTTGAAGGCTAGCTACATATAGCTAGTGAATATGAGTTGAGTCAAAATGCCTAATTATATGCCTAGTGCATTGGAATTGAAAAAAGTGAATCACGCTAGGCATTTTAACTAACAAGTATTATATGCCTAGTGCATTGGAGATGCTCTTATACGATTTTTAAGAATTTATATAATATATTTTGTAATTCAATGAGAGTTCGGACAAAAATTCATAACCACGTATTAAATTTGGGCTAGACTTGGAATAAATATCACATAACTCAAGCAACTTGAAGCTCAACGTGTATATAAAATATTAAAAAAAATATTAAATATACATATAATTTGAACCTTTAAATTATATTCACCATTTATATCATATATTCATAACAAACACAAAAAAATAAATAAATAAATAAATAAAATGAAATAAAATAAACTTATCATTTTCCCTTTTACTCAAAAATGGCAAAGCACCGGGCGCAATGATTTTTCGATTCTCATCTCTCTCTTCACAAATTATATATTTATTTTGATCTTATTAATAATTTTACAAAAAAAAATTATTAATAAAGTCTAGTTTTAACAAATTAATTAGATTAGCTATAATAAAAAAATTCAAATTTGTGGGTAATTTGGACAATTCAATAGCCTAACCCGAGTTCAATTTGTTATCCTTGTTGCCCCCTTACTACTAGTTACTGGTTGCATTGACAATACCGTGCCTTTGTGAAGTGTAGCACTTTGTATTTGAATTGGTAATGCCCAGGTGGTGCAAAAATAGCTAACTAATTAGTTACATTTCATTTCATTTTCATTTACACCTTTTTTGTTCTACTTAATGAAATTGATTAATTACGAAATGAAACAAAGTATTTGGCAACATACGTTGTTAGTAATTTATGTAATCTTTGAAGGAATGCATTTTTTTCTTGCATAAAAAAATAAATCTACATACAAACACACCTATTAGGAAATAAAAATATATCCTCATTCAACGAAATTACAAGTGATTGAAATAGTATACGATGTAGAACAAAATTACAATCAATAAGATTTCACTAATCATTTCTGCTCGAAAAGAAGAAGGTGAAATTATTTTTCCTCACACTTAGACTTTCTACAATAATAATATTCTACATACAAACACACGTATTAAGAAATAAAAATATATTCTCATTCAACGAAATTACAAGTGATTGAAATAGTATACGATGTAGAACAAAATTACAATCAATAAGATTTCACTAATCATTTCTGCTCGAAAAGAAGAAGGTGAAATTATTTTTCCTCACACTTAGACTTTCTACAATAATAATATATTTTATATAAATACTTCTTTTCTTGTTTCTTCATGCAACGAGCAATTTTTAGTGATGTCCAATTTCACCACCACCTCCTCCACCAAATCCACCGTCTCCTCCTGCTCCTTCACCTATTCCACCACCTTTACCAAATCCTTCACCAAACTCACCACCGGAGCCACCTCCCATTCCACCACCTTTACCAAACCCACCACCGATTCCACTACCTTTTCCAAAGCCTTCACCACCACCAATTCCACCACCTTTCCCAAAGCCTCCACCACCACCAATATCACCACCGATGCCACCACCCTTACCAAATCCTCCACCAACACCACCACCTTTGCCAAAGCCGCCTCCACCACCAATTCCACCACCTTTACCAATACCATCGCCGACGCCACCACCCTTACCAAATCCTTCCCCAATTCCACCACCTTTTCCAAACCCACCACCTATTCCTCCACCTTTTCCGAAGCCCCCTCCAACTCCTCCACCCTTTCCAAATCCACCACCTCCCCCAAATCCACCCCCTTTACCAAAAGCCAGAAACTTCTCCTCCTCCTCATCATGCCTCACACTCGCCACCACATCTCTAGCAACCACTACACTCACAAGAACTTGAAAACAAACCAATAACAACACCACAATCCTCATTGCACCACTTATCATCATCTTCAAACAATGTTTAGCAATGAGCTTGAATTAACAGCACAAGCTTCCTAGATATATATATATATATATATATATGCACACAAAGTAATAGCCTTTCACTTTCTCACTTTGATTCACATTAAAGTGGTTCCAACAACTAACCGTTCACCCTATTGAGATCAAGTTTGACATCTTTTAAAAAATTCAAAAAGTCAAAAAGTTATTATTCTATTTAAATCACATTATCTTATTTAAGTCACATCACCTCTCTAATACATCACTTCAAACTCAACCCAAGTCCAACTTATATTTTATGAAAAATCAAAAAATACACTTATTTAATCCTTCCAAACTTAACCTGAGTCTCAACAACTAACCGTTCACCATGTTAGTCAAATTCAATGGCTTCAATTATTATGACGCGTGTTTTTGGTGATTCGTCTTTAATGCCGCCGATCTGTCTTTTCACGGAAAGTAAAAAATTGATGAAGTTGGGAAGCAAATCGGCGTGATATTAGACTGACACAACCATTAATTTGCTCTCTATTAGATGCTTCAAATAGTAGGTAGTGTTCACATGTAAAAATTAATGTATTAATTAATGTATTAATATTATTTATAATATTATTATCGATCTGATATTATGATTTTTTTTTTTTCTCTTTATTGTCAATTTGGTAGAGTTGACTTTAGAGCTCACAGTCTAAAGCTCTCTATCATAGTCCGACCTATAATGAGCTCGGACAATGAAATGGAGATTTCATTTCAATCATGTAATTGAGAGGAGCTTTTTTTCAGAGGAGAGTATATGTCATTGTACTTTTGTCTATGGTGGTGATTGGATTGATATTAGAGTCCATTATATTTGTATTATAGTAAGTATTTGGAAGACAACGGGGATCACTCGTATATTATTAAGACTCGACTTCTCTTCGGCTCAAATTATAAACTAAAGGGTGTTGTTCGGATTTGTGAGGCTTATCACGTATCTTATTTTAATTATTCGAACCGCTCACTTTGTTAGGTCTTTTGAGTATATAATTCATATAAAATATTAAGTTACTATAATAATTGTAACCTATTTAATTTATTACATTTGTCTTTAAAAAATATAAATGACAAGTGTATTTTTAAAAATAGACTATTTGTTAGGTCTTATTCTTGGCAACTCCGTTTGACAAAACTCCTTTCAGTTGTATTTGTTTTCGCACTTTTATTTCAGTGAGACTATGAGTTTATTAGATGCGAATCCAACTCGAATCGTGCCTTTGTCAATTTTCATGGATCAAAACCGAGGTTGTTACAGGATCCAGTGTTCCAGATTTTCCAATTTTGGTCGTCCCGCTCGAGCGGGACAAGGGACGCTCAAGCGGGGATTGCAAACTCACAGCATCTCTGTGTCGCCTGAAAAAGTACTAGATGGTGTGATTATCCGCTCAAGCGTGGAAACTTCCGCTCGAGCGTGAAGCCTATATGAATCACACAATTTTGAAGCCTCCGCTCGAGTGGACATTACCACGCTCGAGCGGACCGCGCAGACACAGATTATTGGATTTCTATAAAGAATTGGTTTTCTTCAAATCCAGGATTACTTTGGATTTCTATAAGGAATTGGTTTTCTTCCAAAATTAGGATTACTTTGGTTTTCTATAAGTAGTTGGGTTTCTCCCAAAACTTGGTGAATTCCTCTAGATCTTTTTTTTGGTTCTTAAGGTTTATATCTGGGGATATTTTGTTAGTTTTCTTTGATATTTTATTGAGTATTCAATTCATGGCCTGAAAATTCGGTGGATTCTGGAGTGGCTTATCGTAAAGACAATTCCGAGGTGAAGACGGGTTTGGAAGAGGCACATAGAAGTTGGTTCAATTAGGCGTGGATTCGCTAGGTAATTGAGAGTATACCTGTGTAATTCCTTTAAATCTTCTTAGTGGATTGTTTTGTGGCTGTTGCCCGTGGTTTTTTAATCACAGTTGGAGGTGTCCAATTGTGGTTTTTCCACGTTAAAATCATTGTGTTGATTTGTCTTGATTGTTTGATTGGAATTGTTATATACTGCTTAAAATTGATATATAGTCACAAATCAACATCTAGGAGATTTCTAGATTTTTCACTATTCATTTTCTTGATAACAAATGCAAAAATTGAATACGTTATGAATATCGGATTGACCTATTTTCGTGTGTGGGTGATATATACAAATAACTCGACAAAACTAATGGTTCAAATTATCGAAATAAGACTTGTAGTGAGCCTCACAGGCTCAAATTGCATTCAAATCATGGACCCAAAGAGATCTAGGTTATTATCAATAATGGTAGATATCATATGATAATTTCATGTAATACTTTCCAAACATCTAATAATTTTTCAAGTGGCTAGTGCAATCGAGCATATGTAGCACTCTAAATTTTAACTTTAAGGAAGACTTCAAATCCAAATCTTTTGCCCAAAATTGTTAATTTATAGTCTAGATTTATTCTATACATACATAATTCAATCTTTACCGCAAGCAACCATATTATGAGTATATTTTTAGTACGCTATTTCCAGGAAGGATACAACTCCTCTCCAATAACTGGAGGGTGATCTTCAACATTGTTGGGCCCTGATCTGGCCCATGGCGATAATCCAAATTGTTGAATCTATAGAACCTATCGAATATATCATTCTTGTAAAAATTTATGTTTATCAGATATCAATAACTACTTGATCAGATTACATTTTTATTACAATTTATTTTGAAAATTATATTGAAATGTAAGTTAATCAAATAATTATTGATATCCGATTAATGTAATTTTTTACAAAGACAATGCATTCAACATGTTCTACACATTGAACAGTTTGAATTATCATCATAGGCCCAGATTAAGACCCACCAATGCCAAACAACACCCTCTAATTATTGAAGAGGAGCTGGTCCGGCTGAAAAATAAACTTACCGAAATAAAAAGTTTAGATAGATACAAACTAACCAGAAAACTTGATACAATTCTCTTTCGTATGAGATGTGTTTCACATTGCATAAATAAAGAAAACCTTCAAATCCCACATGGAGTCTCACAAAATATAATCGTTGATAAAAAAAAATAATATAAAAAAGAAAAAAGAAAAAAAAGGGGGTTGCACATGGATTCGACAACTCTTATATAGCCACGAGAAGAAATTCAAAGCATAGGAAAACAGCAAAATAGTGTATCAGAAAAAATATAAAGAAAAATACTTTAAAAATACAATATATGGATCATATTTATTTTAGCATGACTTACAAACTATTAAGTTTAAATTTACACTACACACTTTAATTTTAGAGTTAAAGCTTAAATTTTAGAAAGCTTTTTTGATAAATTTTCTTTCTAAGAATTTTATTCCATCCAACCCATATTGTTTTTAACTATTCTATAAGGTCCTATTTGAAATAAGAAGACCAAAACACCCTCAATCTCTCCTACCCCCATACATGATGTGAATATTTATACTAAAACATACGAATGTGAACGTTCACATCACTATGTTAGATGAGAGAGAATGTTCACATATTGTGAATGTTCACATCACTACATGTTATGAATAAAAATGTGTTGCTAATTAAAAATATAATGAACGTGTACGGGAAAGAAATAAACCTTCTCGTATAATCCTGTTGATCAAGTATGCGTTCCTCCGTACGATGTCGCTTTACTCCCTGAAAATACAAACGTGAACTAGCTAGCGGGTGTGTGCCGGATACCTCTCCGATGCCTAAATCAGCAAAATAGACAAAAGCTATGTGTATTCGGGAATCAAAGTTGTGTTACCTCTCCATAGGTGATGTTATGAGCTTTTATAGGTTCCGTGTGGCACAATCTTAATAGGACTCTTACTCCTCCATGCAGAGTCCTCCTAGGAATCACATTCTTGAAAGATAATGCTTATCCCTCAACACCCCCCTCACTGCTTAAACCCAGTGAGATGGTTTTATCATGGTTGGATGAAAATACGACCGAGATAACATGGTCACGCTAAAGCCGCAGACTAGACCGAGCTCCAACTAGCTTGGTTCTTCCTTTTACTGTTTTTGATAGCCTAACCCTTAAAAACAAGTCCCCAGCACTTTCTTTTGATAGCCTCATTAAAAGCATCTTAATGTTTTTCCTGCAGAAGAAAATATACAGAAAGCAATGAAAATTGAAAACAGAAAATAGATAACAGAAAACAGTTCAGAAATTATCAAAAAATCTAGACTTATGGTATATATTTAAAGTTGTTATTATTTTTTTTGATAACTTAGGGTGTTCGGATCAGTTTGCGCACACCTCGACTAATCCCTGGGGGACCAATCCCACCGTTCACTAGCAGGGAGCCATTTAAAGCCAGAGCAAAGCTCTGTATGGACTGACCCAATACAAAGATTGATAGTACCTAAAAAATTTTGAACCTGAAATCTAAGGAGGAGGAAACTCCTAAAAAGTTCTTATTATGAGCCACATCTTTAGTGTAGCTTAGCTATGGATTTGAAATTCTTATTTATTTATTTATTTATTTTTTGAAATATATATCTTTCAATAATACTATGAACTTAAAAAAAATAAATAAATAAATAAATAAGAATTTCAAATCCATAGCTAAGCTACACTAAAGATGTGGCTCATAATAAGAACTTTTTAGGAGTTTCCTCCTCCTTAGATTTCAGGTTCAAAATTTTTTAGGTACTATCAATCTTTGTATTGGGTCAGTCCATACAGAGCTTTGCTCTGGCTTTAAATGGCTCCCTGCTAGTGAACGGTGGGATTGGTCCCCCAGAGATTAGTCGAGGTGTGCGCAAACTGGCCCGAACACCCTAAGTTATCAAAAAAAAATAATAAGAACTTTAAATATATACCATAAGTCTAGATTTTTTTGATAATTTCTGAACTGTTTTCTGTTATCTATTTTCTGTTTTCAATTTTCATTGCTTTCTGTATATTTTATTCTGCAGGAAAAACATTAAGATGCTTTTAATGAGGCTATCAAAAGAAAGTGCTGGGGACTTGTTTTTAAGGGTTAGGCTATCAAAAGAGAAAGAATTAAAGAATTGATATATCGCTATGGTTAGTGACG